GGGGCAACCTGTGCGTTTGGGGATGGGGGCAGCAGCGGGGGCGGGGGAGGGGGTGATTTAAGACAAGGCAGCCTGAAATTTGGGTGGGAGGCAGGCGTGGGGGAGTGGGGGAACCGAAGGGAGGAAGCGGGGGGGGGGGGGGGCTGAGTTCCTATGCTGCTCAGGTGCCTCCAATTCTCCGCCCCCCCCCACACACACCCTTTCCCTACAAAAATCTAAAAAAACTGGCCCAACTCACCGTAGTGTCCCCCACACTTCCAGCTGCTGCCGCTTCGGTCTCATCGCAAACTGTTAAGGGGAAAAAAATCACATTTGGCCAATAAAGGATAGAGAGAGCGGGAGAGAGAGAGAGAGAGAGAGAGAGAGAGAGAGAGAAATAAATAAATAAATAAACCAAGGACGGAAGGAATAGAGGGAGGGTGGAGGGAAGGAAGGAAGGAAAGATAGAAGAGGAAGGAAGGAAGGAAAAAGGGGGAACAAAGGGAAGAGGGAGAGGGAAGGCCGGGGGGGGAAAAAGGAAGGGAGGGAGGAAATGGGAGTAGGGAGAAGGGAAGAGGCAGGGAAGGAGAAATAGAAAGAAGGAAGGAAGGAAGGAAGGAGGGTGGTGGGAAGGAAACGAGGGAGGGAGGAAGGAAATGGGGGGGAGAGAGGGAGGAGGGAGGAAAAGGGAAGAAAGGGAAGGGAATAGGGAGGAGGGAAGGAAGGAAGGAAAAAAGAAAGGAAAAGAACAAAGGGAAGAGGGAGGGAAGGAAGGAAAGAAAAGGAGGGAGAGAAAGGAGTAGGGAGAAAGGAGGAAAAAGGAAAAGGAAGGAAAAAAAGGAAAAGGACAAAGGAAAGAGGGAGGGAAGGAAGGAAAGAAAGGGACGGAGGGAGAGAAAGGAGTAGGGAGAAAGGAGGGAAAAGGAAGAAAGGGAAGAGGAAGGGAGGGAAAATGGAAGGAAGGAATAGAGAAAGCGGAAGGAAAGAAGGAAGGAAACCAAAGAGGAAAGAACGAAGGAAGAAAAGCTAGAAGAGGAAGGAAGGAAAGGAAGGAAGCAAGGAAAGATAGAAGAGGAAGCAAGGAAGGAAGGAAACAGGAGGGGGAAGAAAGGGAGGGAGGCAGGAGGGAGGAAAGGGGAAGAAAGCGAATAGGAAGGGAGGGAACGAAGGAAGAAAGAAAAAGGAACAAAGGGGAGAGGGAGGGAAGTAACGAAAGGGAGGGAGGGAATGGGTTAGGCAAAAGGGAGGAAGGAAGGAAAAAGGAAGAAAGAAAGGGAGTTAGGAAAAAGAAAAAAAGAAAGAAAGAAAGAAGGAAGGAAAGAAAGAAAGAAAGAAAGAAAGAAAGAAAGAAAGAAAGAAAGAAAGAAAGAAAGAAAGAAAGATAGAAAGAAAGAAAGAAAGAAAGAAAGAAAGAAAGAAAGAAAGAAAGAAAGAAAGCCACTGCCTGAAGCTAAAAGAGTGGAAGCTGGAGAGAGATTGGGGCATGTAATTCATTCTCCCTCTCTTCCTCCCTCCCTCTCTCTCTCTCTCACACACACACATACAGCTAGTCCTTGACTTACGACTGAATCCCAAATTCATCTTGCTAAGCGAGACATTGTCAGGTGAATTTTGTCCCATTCTGCAGCCTTTCTTGCCGCCAGCTGTGGAGCAAGTCATTGCCGTGGTTAAGTTAGTCGCACGGTTGTTAAGTGAATCTGGGGAACTATTGACTTTGCCTGCCGGAAGGTCGCAAAAGGGGACGCCATGACCGTCATAAGCACAAGTCCGCTGCCAGGCGTTCGATCAGGAAACCACGGGGACTCCGCGACAGTCTTAAGTGTGAAACGCGGATACAAGTCATTTGTTGTATCTTTGGGCAAAATTCGCAAGGGCCTCACTTAGCAACAGAAATGTTGGGCTCCATTGTGGTCATAAATCGAGCACTATTGGCATTGGGTATGTGGCTTATGTAACTCAAGGAAGTTACTCACCAGATATCCATACTTTATTCTGCTTTTCTTTTTCAGGTGTTAAGCTATCCGGGAGAGATTCTTCCTTCACTGGGAGTGAGGAGAAGGAGACGGGAAAGAAAGGTAAACGGAAAAGGATGAGTTCTCCCAAACAGGAAGTCCTCGCCTTACAGCAGTTCACTTAGCGACCCTTCAGAGTTACAACTGCACTGAAAAAAAGTGATTTACGGCTGTTTTTCACCACTTACGACCATTTTTCACACCTACGACCGTCGCACAGTCCCCTGTGATTGGCATTCGGATGCTTGACTAGTGACTCCTATTTATGACGGTCGTGGCGTCCCCCAGGGTCACGCGACTCCCTTTTGCGACCGTCTTCAGAGCAAAGTCCAGGGGGAAGTGGATTCACTTAACAACAGTGTGATTAACAACTGCAGCGATTCACTCAGCCGTGTTCCTCACTGAACAAGTACAGGGATTCACTGAACAACCGTTACTAATTTCACAACGGCAGGGTTTTGCCTTCACAAACGGGGCAAGGGAAGTTGTCCACGGGGTAAACCTCGTGTAACCGATGTCTCGCTGAGCGACATAAATGCTGGGCCTCTTTGCGGTTGTACGTCTAGGACTGCCTGCAGTGGGTGGTTTTCCAAGGAGGTGGAAGTACCGTCAGGTCCTCCATCTTCCCAACCTGGCAAGATACGCGTTGTAACCTGACCTGCGTTTGCGCCCAACCGTTCTATGTTGACAAACTGACTTTCCCTTCTATGTAAGCTAAGATGTCTCGCGTTTTGTTACATCCAAGGGACCGGAAGACCAGAAACTCAAAAGGATGCCAAAAAAGAGGAGGAAGGAAAAGAGAGAGAGAGAGAGAGAGAGAGAGAGAGAATGGGAATTCCACCCTCCGGGCGGTGAAGAACCTGAATGACGCACAATCCAGGCCTTTATCCTCGTCAGCAACTAATTAAACTCTCAACCCGAGCGGGATCGTTAATATTGAACGGGGCTGGCCTCCCTGGCCGATAGACACGGCCTCGCTGCCATCGGCAACTCAATTAGCGCGGCTTGATACGCCCGCCGCGACGTGAAGACCCCCATTTCTCACTGACACGGGATGCGCGCGCTGTACGGCGCATTGGCAAGAATTTCCTGCATCCCTAAACCCTCCTGGGGTCCCCCCCCATTTCCACTGCAGATGTAACCCGGAGGCACCGCTGTTCTCTCCATCCCATCCCTTGAGGTGGAAGGCCTGGCCGGTTGAGCGACCCGTGGTCGTGAGCTGTTGCCCCGCTTTCAATCATTCATTGCCCCCCCCCGGCACCCCTTCCCCTCTATTATTATTATTTTTTTAATCCCATGCTGATCCCTATTGACTTTCCGTGCCAGGTAAGACGCAAGGTCAGGTGGATTGTAACCCATCAATCTGGGAAGACAGCCAATTGCCACTGCTCGGATAGGGTTCCCCGGTGTGGGAGGAGTGGGGAAGAAGAGTGGGTGGGTTGATAGGCAGCCTCAGCTGCGGGAGGGAGAAGTATATATCTTTCCTTCCACCGCCCACCCACCCCCCTTCCCGTTCCAACTTCTCCCCGGCTGTGGTCCGTACGTATCTCAGTCTCATTTCTCTTCTCCTTCATTCTTCCTGTAGGTTGCTAGGCAACCTCCCCCAGTATCTGTCATAATCCATTATGAAGCTGGATGTGTGTATGTGTGTATGTGCGGGTGTGCAACGAGAGGAGGAGGAGGGGGCTGGCAGGAGGAAGAACGGGAACGTACCTCGCTCGGCGGCTCTGCACTCCGACGTCGGCAGAGCGAGATGTGGAGTAAAACATTCAGCAGGCTTAAGAAATTGCACAGTGTTTGCTACCCCGAGGAAAGTCTCAATTCCTACTCACCCCCCAGGATCAAGAACGAGACCACTTCTGCAGATCTCTCCATGGTGTGGTTGTGGGTCCTTTCCTCCTCCCCCCGCCCACAATCAACCTCCCTAAAAATCAACATTTTACCCTGTTGGGACCTGGGGTAGTCCGTGGTGCCACCCCACCCATGAGCCAAGCGGCGGGGTGATTACCTGCAGCGTTGGCGGGTACAAAACAGACGTATCTTTCAAGGCCCAAAGTGCCTTCGCCATTCTGGAGTAGCTGGAGGCGCCACTGGCCATGAGCCTCACGGTGGTGGGGTGAGCGGAGGTGCTGGATCATGGCCAGGCGGCTGGGCGAATCGACATTACACAGGAGGCAGCGGAACTGCGCGGGTTCAGAGGTGGGCGGGGGTGCCGAGGTGGTCTCCATTTCCAGAAGCAACTAGGGGTGAAAGAAGAAACGGGCATTGCAGATTCGAAGAAGAGGAGAGGGCACCCCTATGTCTTCCGGGTCAGCAATCAATTAGTGGTCCTTGGTCCCCTTGCGGGGCTACTGGTCTCTCTTCCCCCATGCCTTTCTCCATACGCCCTTGGTACTTAATCCTGCTTGTAGAGGCATTCATTGCACCTTTTCCTAGAATAATAGGGTCGAAAGGCACCTTGGAGGTCTTCTAGTCTAACCCCTCCACTCAAGGAAGGGACCCCGTAGCCATTCCAGACAAAAGGCTGTCCAGCCTCTTCTTGAAAACCTCCAGTGATGGGGCACCCACAACTTCTGGAGACAAGCAGTTCCACCGGTGAATTGTTCTCACTGTCGGGAAGTTACTCCTGGATGGGACCCCTCTTCAGTTGACCTCTTTTCCAAAGCCCCAGAAGGCAGGACGAGAAGCAAACTGGATGGAAACTAATCAGAGAGCGAAGCAACCTGGAATTAAGGAGAAAGTTCCTAACGGTGAGGACAATTAACCTGTGGAACAGATTGTGGGTCCTTCAAAACTGAAGCTTGGACAGCCTTATCTGGAATGGTATAGGGTCTTCTGGTTGAGCAGGGAGTTGGACTAGAAGACCTCTAAGGTCCCTTCTAACTATGTTATTCTTTCACCTTTCCTTGTCCTGCCTTCAGGTGCTTTGGAGAATAGCTTGACTCCCTCTTCTTTGGGGCAGCCCCTCAAATATTGGGGCATTGCTGTCATGTCTCTCCTAGTCCTTCTTTTCATTAGACGCAACCGTTCTTCATATGTTTTGGCCTCCAATCCCTTCATCATCTTTGTTGCTCTTCTCTGCACCTTTTTTGTTGGGGGGGGGGCGTTTCAAGTTCAATCTAATTAATCTCCTTTGAGGGGACATCTGCTGCACCCCTTTTCAGTAATATTTGCGCAGGCAGTTCTCAACTTACAACCATTCATTTAGTGATGCTTCGAAGTTACAACAGCACTGAAAAAAAATATGACTTTTTTTTCACACCGATGATTGACTGTTGCTGCGTCCCCACGATCACGTGATCAAAATTCAGAACCTGGGTACCTGACTCATATTTCTGATGGTTGCTGGGATCACGTGATCCCCTTTGGAGACTTTCCGACAAGTAAAGTCAACGGGGAAACCAGATTCGACAATGGTGCTACTAATTTCTTGTTAACCAAGAAAGAAAAACTGGGCAAAACTCAGCGTCTCCACTGAGCAACATAAATTTGGAGCTCCACCGTGGCCTTAAGTCGAGGACTACCTGTACTGAATATTATTCTCAATTCTGGTGTGTGATGCATCCTTCCCACAAATTTGGTACCTTATAACCTTGCAGAGCTTCCTGGTGGCCGGTGCCGGCAACGTGAAGCTGGATTTTCTCCTTGCTGTTGGTCTCGTATTCACACAGGTTGCAGTGGAGATGTAGAGGCGGTCCCAGGGGCAGCTCCACCCCCAGGTGGGCGACCAAGCTACCCCCTTCCCGCAGGTGAGCGGCCAGCTGGTACTTCAAAGCATGCTTGTCGGTCTTCAGGTGAAGCTGGAAGTTGGCTTTCAGTTGGGTGCCGTAAGCGCAGAGCCGACAACGGTGCAAGTCACCGGAGATTTCCTTCCATTCCACCTCCGGCAGGGAACGCGGGATGGAAGCGTGCCGCAGGAGGCTATCCAGACTGTCAGTGCTGAAGACTTGGCACACCAGACAGCTGAACAATCTCTGCGGGGTCAGCAGGTCAGGTCCAGACTGGGCTGGTGGTGAGGAAGGGGGAGCGGGTTCAGGAGAGAGAGAGGCGGGGGCTGCGGAGGCGAGAAATAAAGTGAGTGCGTGAATTTCGTGTACCCATAGGGCAGTGTTTCCCAACTGCAGGGACTTTTAAGAAGTGTGGACTTCAACTGGGAGCCAAAGTCCACACTTCTGGGAAACACTACTATGAAGGAATGGGAATTACGGCTCAGTGGTTAAAATGCAGTATCGCAGGCTAACTCTGCCCACTGTCAGCTGTTCAAACCTGACTGGCTTGAGGTTGACAGCCTTCCATCCTTCCAAGGTCGGTAAAATGAGGACCCAGATTGTTGGGGGCAATAGGCTGACTCTTGAGCGGTATATGAGCGCTAAACTAACTAAAGAATTGAGGTTGGTACCACAACGTGGAGAAGAAGCACAATGGTGCACAAGACATAACCATGGATGTTAAGAGAGAGAGAGAGAGAGAGAGGGACAAATCAATACGCCAAGGGAGATCTTGAAGAAATGGTGGACCATGGATAGATGAAGAACAACAAGAGGACAGGGAACACAGTCAAGCTTGGGGTCCTTGTAGGCAGGACCTAGAGGTTCATACGGACACCAAGAATGGAAAGTCTCTCTTACCTGTCCCCAAGGTAGCCATCTTCCGCCCCGCTGCGCTGAGATGTTGGAAGCCTCCATTGAGCAAGAGTTGAGGTTGTTCCATGGGCTTGTCTGCCCGCAGAGGCAGGTTGCTCCCCGCATGGACCTGGTGGGGATGTGAGTGGTGGGCATGGCCTAGAGCCTGCGCCCCATAGAACGGGAAGAGGTCAGGCTGAGCCTTGCCTCCTGAAGGGGTCTGCGGTTGTCCCAGAAGCCCCGGCAAGGTCAGTGGCAACCCTTGATGGAGCAACAGCATGTTCTGCATGTGCTTCTCAGATGTCATGTGGATCCGTAAGTTACGGGAGATGTTGGTCTCGTAACTGCACACTTTGCATTGCCAGGACGACTTGCCCTTGGATTCCTTCTCCTCAGGGGAGGATGGGGAAGGTGCCACAGGGGGAGGCACTGGTGGCCCGCTTCCTCCCGTAGCCTGATAGCCTTGTAGGTTGGCCAGGTGTTTGTCAGACTGCATGTGGATGCTGAGGTTGCCCTTAGTAGTGGTGGAGTAATTGCAGGCCTCACAACGGTAGGGTTTGTAACCACAGTTGTAGCTCTCACCACGGGCCAGGCGTGGATGGGGACCACCCGTGCTACAATAGGCGCAGTGGCTGTTGTTCTCTGGATGTTTCTCCTTCATGTGGACGTCCAGGGTCTGCTGGTACTTATAATGCCAGTTGCATTTGGGACATTTGAGCGTCTTGCAGGAGTTGCGCGAGTGCAGCAGTGACATGTGGCCTGACAGAGTCAATCCCGAGTACGCCATCGCTGTAAAATCTTCCCCGAAGCTAAGTGAGGCTCCTCCGACAACATTGTGGCCGTTGTTCCCAAGCCCGTTGTTGACCTCAAACCCGGCCGTCATTGCTTCGTTGGCTGTCCCTACACTGCTCAAGCTGTCCGCCAAGTCAGTGGCACTGATGTCATGGGACGGCCCAACACACGTCTGGGGAGAATCATTGGGAATGCTGTCGGCTTTGGGAATGGACTCAGCCCTGGCGTCAGCCGCTAGGTCCACGCAAGGGACCTCGTGCATTAGTCTTTCCTTCAGGATCTTGTGGTTGGTCTTGTCCTTGTTGACATCTTCCTGGGGTGGCCCTGTATAGTCAGAATTTGGGGCGTTGGTCAGTGGTGTCTCTGAGCGAGGGGCGTTAGCAGCCAAGGGTGCGCTTGATGTATCTGGTGAACTTTGGTCTGGAAGCAGTTCCTTCTCTTCCTTCTTTTCATCCACTTGTGCCACCTCCTCCTCCTCCTCCTCCCTTTCTGGTTTCTCCTCCATGGAACCATTTGCCCAGTGCGTGCCGCCGACCCTTGAATCTTTGGTATCTGATGGCTCGCATCGTCTTTCTGGGCTTCTTGTCTTGTTCTCATTTTCCTCCTCTTCTTCTTCTTCTTCCTCCTCCTCCTCCTCCTCTTTTACATTCACCCATCTGCTACACATTCTGGCATTGAGGTCTGCCTCGGTGGTGGGGTTATTTGGTTCTAGGAAGCCAAGGTCGGTGCCCTGGAACACAGCCGAAGCCCCTCCATCCAAGGCCTGGCATTTCTCATTGCAGAGCTGCACACCGTGTTCTGTACGGGCATGAGACACCAAGGTGCGGCCCTGGTTGAACGAGAGGCGGCATGTCAGGCAGAGCCACACGGGGCCTCCTGGCATCACCTTGTCTCGGCCACGAGTGGCCTCCTCATTCTCCATGGGGGCGGTGGGGGCATCTTTGGATTTGGTGGTAGCGTTTTTGGCAGGCGTATTTTGAGCTGGGGCCCCGGCCAGTCGGTAACTGTAGAAGGCGCCTTGAGGAGTCACCTCGCCTGGCGCTGAGGTATTCTGGGACATTTGGTCAACAGACATAAAGCCTTGGTTAGGACCTCCACTGTCCTGAATGTGGAGAATGGACACTTGAGGAGTGGAGCTGACGGGGGAGCCCTTTGGTAAGAGAACGTGGCCGCTGGCGAGGAGGTACGCCGAACCGTCAGCGGCAAAAAAAAGCTGGGCCTCGCGCCCACCGTCCTCATCTCTGTGGTCTTCCAGCTGGACCCCATCTTCAGCCAGCGGCAGGCCTAGAGGGAAAGGGGAAGGATTTGGCAAGGACTGGCTGGGGTCCGTTTGGAGCTGTGGGGTAGATGGGACGGTGGCAGGGAACTTGGCCAAGCTGAGTGCGGCGGCTTGGGCACTGGCGCAGGGTCTCATGATATCATCGGGACGGGGCGAGGGGGAAGGGGAGGGGTCCCAGAGGGGGGGTTCTTTGGTGGGCGGCAAGGCAGGAGAGCCCTGAGCAGGCCGAACCACGGCCCGGTCATCCTGTCCGTCTGCCGGGGGGACAGCAGCGGAAGAGTGGGAGGAGGAGGAAGAGGAGGAGGAGTTAGAGGAAGCATCCATGGTGGTGCAGGCGGGAGGAGCACAGAGGGATCATCTCAGCACAGGAGCCAAAACCCTGCAGGAAAAACAAGAGAAGACAAACACATGTAAATCCCACTTTACCGCAAGAGGACAAATGGGTCCACTAATACATGCTTAGCGTTCTGGCTAATGTGGCTAGCAATCTGTCCACGGATTGTAGTAATCTTAGGAAGGGTTACAGATGATTCTCAAATTACAACTATTCGTTTTGTGACCTTCCAAAGCAGTGGCTCAGTGGCTAATACACCGAGCTTGTCAACCAGAAAGGTCGGCAGTTTGGCGGTTCGAATCCCTAGCGCTGCGTAATGGAGGGAGCTCCCATTCCTTGTCCCAGCTTCTGCCAACCTAGCAGTTCGAAAGCATGTAAAAAAGGCAAGTAGAAAAATAGGCACCACCTTTGGTGGGAAGGTAACAGCCTCCCGTGCGCTTTTGGCATTTAGTCATGCCAGCCACATGACTATGGAGACGTCTTCGGACAGTGCCGGCTCTTCAGCTTTGAAACGGAGATGAGCACCGTCCTCGAGAGCCAGAAACAACTAGCATGTATGTGCGAGGGGAACCTTTGCCTTTAAAGTTACAACGGCCCTTAAAAAAGGGATTACGGTCGTTTTTCACACTTACGACCATTGCAACATCCCTACCACCACATGATCAAAACTCAGGTGCTTGGCAACCAACTCGTATTTATGACGGTTGCAGGGTTCCAGGCTCGAGTGACCCCCTTTTGTGACTTTCTCACAAGCAAAGTCAACAAGGAAGCCAAATTCACCAAACAACTGTGTGCTAAACTTAACACCCACACTGATTCGCTTAATGACCGTGGCAAGGTTGTAAAATCAACAGAGCTTACATCACGACCTTCGCAGCATCCCCATGCTCATGTGATTAAAATTTAGACACTTGGCAACCAGTTCATATTTATGACGGTCACAGCGTCCCGGGGTCATATGATCTCCTTTTGCGACCTTCTCACAAGCGAAGTCCATAGGAGAGCTTGGATTCACTTAACAACCAGGATACTAATTCAACAATTGATGGTACTGATTCACTTAACAAGAGTTTGTAAAATCAGACATGGTTCACATCCCAACTATATATCTTAACGATGGTTTTTCTGGTAGCAATTGTGGTCGTACGTCAAGGACTGACTCTACGAGGAAAACCTGTTCCTTATGAAAAGAGATTTGCAATGCAAAATTAACAACATGTTGTCGACTGATCAGATGGCGATGCATTGTTGAACAGGTGTGAGTGCCGCCACACAATATATTTTTTGATTGTCTCCCAGGTGTTCAGAACTGTGTATTTTCACTCACATACACGGTTTCTTACCTCAACAGGTGGTCCTCAACTTACAACAGTTCTCTTAGTGACCGTTCAAAGTTACAACGGCAATGAAAAATGTGACTTATGACCATTTTTCACTCTTATGACCAGTGCAGCTTCCCATGAACACGTGATCAAAATTCAGGCGCTTGGCAACTGACTCATAGTTATGACGGTCGCAGTGTCCCGGGGTCATGCGATCCCCTCTGTGACCTTCTGACAAGCCATAGTCAAGGGGGAAGCCAGATTCACTTAACAACCGTTGTTATTTGCATAACGGCAATGATTCGCTTAGCAACTGTGGCAAGGTTGTAAAATAAGGACACAGCTTACAACACGACCGACTTGCTTAATGGTGGATTTTGCAGTACAGGCAGTCCTCGACCTACAACAGTTTATTTAGTGATGATTCAAAGTTACAGCGGCACTGAAACAGGACTTATGACCCTTTTCACACACTAACGATGGTTGCAGCATCCCCACGGTCACATGATCAAAATTCAGATGCTTCAGTCTCCTATTTATGACGGTCGTAGTGTCCTGGGGTTGCGTGATCCCCTTTTGCGACCTCCTGACAAGCCAAGTCGATGGGGAAAGCCAGATTCGCTTAACAACCGGGTTACTATCTTATTGACTGCAGTGATTCGCTTAACAACATTGGCAAGAAAGGCTGTAAAATGGAGCAAAACTCACAATAACTGTCTCACTTAGCAACATAAATTTTGGGCTCATTTGTGGTTGCAGGTTGAGGGCTACCTGTAATTTACTGCTTTTTATAAAGCGATAAAATTAATATTGGGCAGAATTTGATTCGGTCCACCATGACAGTCCTAGTTTCTCCTGGGACTGGTTAGTAACCCCATTGTTAAGTGAATCTCGCTCCTGCATTGACTTTGCTTGTCAGAAGGTCGCAAAACGGGATCACACATCCCCAGGACACGGCAACCGTCATAAATATGAACTAGTTGCCAAGTGTCCGAACGCGGCAACGGTCGTAACTGTGAAAAACAGTTCACAATTCCCTTTTTCCAGTGCCGTTGTAGCTTCCAATGGCCAGTAGACAATATGTTGTAAGTCTAGGACTGCCTGTAGAGCTAAAATTCTTTCCGTTATTATCGGTGGGCCTAGAAAAATACCGTAAAAACATTTAATCAACACAGAGCAGCGAAGAACCAGCCTGAGTTTTCTCCTCAGTGTTGTGGCCTCCATTTTGACTTTTTTGACCTAACCATTGTATAACTCGTTTCTCTTTGCTTTTTTCTTCTTTTTTCTGTAATTCTTCACTTTCAAAGGCAAATTTTTAGAAGCTGTGGAGATGGATGTCTCGTTGTTTTGAAAATTGGGGTGGTGGCGGGTCCTTTTTTCCACATCCGTCTCCCGGTGTTTGTCCGATAATGCAAGTGGTATTCAAAGCGATTTCCCTCGATACAGCTGATTGTTTCCCTGTCACTAAGCGGCTCGCTGACTGGTGATTGCGAAAATTGCTCTTAATCTAGCTGTCCATCAACACCAGAGTTTCCCCTCTCCTAAAAACAATATGATCCAGCAATTCAGCATCAGATATATCTATTTTCTTGTGAGATTTGGGTTATTTTCACACAACATCCTGAGGTGAATTACTTCAATGTCGGGACGGGACATCCTCCCAAAACAAACACTCGCCCACAAAAGAACTCAGATGAAAATCAAATTCTCCTCTGAATCTCTATCTTTTACGGATATAGTCCTCGACTTATGACCCCGATGGAGCTCAACATTTCTGTTGTTCAGGGAGACATGAGTTTTGTCTCATTTTATGACCTTTATTGCCACAGTTGTCAAGTGGATCGCTGCAGGTCCTAAGTTAGTGACCTGGCTGTTAAGCGAATCGGGCTTCCCAAATGGACTTGGCCCAAAAGTCATAAAAAGGGGAGCCCGGGACTTTGGGTCACAGCAACCGTTATAAGTACGAAGCGGTTGCCAAGCATCTACATTTTTATCCTGCAATGCTATGAAGGTTACAATGTTGAAAACTGGCCCCAAATCGTTTTTTTCCCCCAGTGCCATTATAACTTTGAATGGTCCCTAAATGAACTGCTATAGTCCTCGGCTTACAACGATTTGTTTAGCAACTGTCTAAAGTTACACCAGCAGTTTTAAAAAATTAGATTTAGGACCGATTTTCACCCTTAACGTCCATTGCACCATCCCCATGGGTCATGTGATTCAGACGCTTGGCAACTGACTCGTACTTATGACAGTTGAAGTATCCCAGACCGGGGTTGTGTGATCACTGTCTGTCAACTTCCCAGCAAATAAAGTCCATGGGAGAAGCCCGATCATTTAATGACCGATTCACTTAACACCTGCAGTGATTAACAAGGCCGAGGAAGGCTGCCCAATACTTAGTGACAGAAATGTTGGGCTCCTTTGAGTTTGGTTAAGTGCAGGTAGTCCTCGCCTTACGACCACAATTGAGCCCAAGATTTCTGTTATTAAGTGAGACATTTGTTAAGTCATTTGTTAAGGGAGTGTTGCCCCATTTTACAAAGTTTCTTGCCACAGTTGTTAAGTGAATCACTGCAGTTGTTAAGTCAGCAACCCCGTTGTTACGTGATTTAGGCTTCCCCGTTGACTTTGCTGGTCAAAATGTCACTAAAGACACACACACACACACACACACACACACACATCCCAGCCACAGCAATGGTCATAAGTATGAATCAGTTGCCAAGCCTTTGAATTTTGCGATCACACGATCATGGGGTTGTGACTGAAAAATGGACATGTCACTTTTTCCAATGCGGTCGTAACTTTTGAACCGTCACTAAATGACCGCATGAAGGTATTCTACCTCTAATAATGCCCACCCCCTGTTGAATTGCCCCAAAAGGTGAATTTCCAAGAGATGCCAAATTCCTGGGATTCTCCAGCATTGCAAAAGCTGGCTTATTATAAATGATGGTTTAACAGCTCTGCTAAACCAAAGGATTTTAAATTGGATCCTTCCTATACTTGTTTAACATTGTCTCAATTTCGCTCTGGGTGCTAAAAAAAATGTTTTTGTACGTGGCCATTTTCTGACCCACCCACCCCCCAAATCCCCAGGGCTGGGAACTAAAGTGGGGTGATTTAAGGAAAGACCCTTGCAACCTGCCCTGGGCCGGGGCCTCAACTCATTTTTAGCAGATGGAGGAGATCGATCAACATGCCTGGGGACTCCATAACCCAGCAGCCTCAGCCCGCTGGGTGGAGGGGTGGTCCTTATGCAATCTGAGGGGAGGTTCTCAATACTGCAAAGAGCCCCCCCCTTTTTTTGCTTAAACTAATCGCATCCTCTCCTGCAAAGCTCTTAAAGCCCCCAACCCATTTCGCATCACACTCTTAAAAATAGATTTATTTTCTTTTAAAAGACCTTACGAAATCCACCTCTCCTTTTTCTGTTCATTCCTCCACTTGGTGGAGGGAGGAGGAAGAACTTGGGGAGCGAGGGGGGGGGCAGCAAATTGGGCTCTCTTCCTCTTTCCTCGCCCCCTCCCCCCCCTTTCCCCCTCCCCCCACCTCTGTGCTGGCTTCTTCCCCTCCCCCTTCCGCAGGATGGTTAGTCGATGCAAATTGTCTCATTAAGGAGAAAAGGAGGCGGGAGGCGTAATTAGAGGGCTGCTGCATATTTATTGCAGGCATACAAAGGTTGGGGGTGGGGGGAGGTGCGCGCGTGGAAAGGGGGCT